ACATTTAAGGGGCAGAAAAAAATGGAGCTCATTGTCTTGCCCAAAGCAGCAGTTATTCAGGGTCACTCAGTGTTACCTACCATAGAGTACATACTTTTTTTTCTCCTAAAAATGACGATGAAAGAGGTTCTGCAGGGACGGTTGTTGTGGTAGTAACGCATACAAAGATCCAGGGCATCCTAAAATGGTACCCAAGGTCCTGCAGTGGAAAACTGAACTGGTCAGTGTGAAAGCACCCGTTTTCCTCTGTAGTACCTCCAGAGCAGCTCTATTCGACTGTATGGAGGTTTATTGGTCCCCAGCATTACTGTTTTTGGTTCAGACTTTGGCAGCTTTTAGTTCATTTCACTACATTTCACTGTGTATTGATAACCTTAGTGGCAAGATCTGACCATAACTATGAGATATTTTTGAAATAAAGAATATTTATTTATATTTTATTTATAAAAATATTTAGAAAACGTATGTATTTATTTATTTATTATATTTATACAGCTAGCCGTTATAGAAACACCCATTGTCTAGAAGAGGTGATTTTACAATCTCTTAAATCGTTAAGGAGACATCTCTTAAGCTGAGAGCAAAGAGTTCATTATTTTTGAGCCTCTAAATTGTTTCAGACATTGAACTGAAACACAGGATGCCTGAGAAGACAGAGTCTACCATACTCCATATGTGGAATTGTCTCAGAATGAATGTTTTTATGTAGTTGTATCACAAGAAAAGCTTACTACAGTAAGCTAAGGTATGTTTCAAACTAATCTGACTGATTGGTGCTTACTATAGAGCTGGAGATTTCACAAGAAAAAGCAGCTCAACTGCTATGAGCGTCATGTCTGTGAAGATTCTCGGTCATCCAGGTCGTGGTTATTCTCGTAGTTTAATCGTAGCAACTGGACTTGCTTGAGTTTCTTGAAGACATTTCACATCTCATCCAAGAGGCTTCATCAATTCTGACTGACTAGTGTGCTGTAAGCATCAAAAATTTAAGCAGAAAAATTTAACACTTCTGACAATCAGACTCAAATGATAAAAACCTGCCAAAGTCAAAATGTTCCCCAGGTGATATTATAGTGATCACTAGGTAGCATAAAAGATCACGGCTAAATTTATTCTTTAACCATTCTTTAATTATGTCTGAAAATTCTGTGTGTCCATGCCTCAATTAAATGACTAACATGTTTGCCCCTCTCTCTTTCTTTTGTTCTCTACACTCTCCTCTCATCAGCTATCCCTCTGATAGATTGTCCTCAGGGTTACAAGAGAATCAACAGTTCTCATTGCCAAGGTAAGAGCCTTTCTTTTATTTTTAGCCATGCTAGTGGCATGGAATTCGGGATGACAATATTTGTCAGTCCTTCCACCACTTTGGCCCATACATACTAAAATATCTTAACAATTATTGCATGAATTGCATTTGAATTTTGTGCAAGACGTGCATGGTTCAAAGCTGTAAACCTTGGTGCTTTTGGTAGCTGTCTACAAGCTTCTGGTTGTATCTTTGATCACTTCTCTTGACAGAATTGGTATAGTTTAACTGAATTTATTGGGTTTCTGACACAAACTTGTTTCTTTAGCACAGTTACTAGTTCTTTAAGTCAGGACTTTTGGGAGACCAGTCTAAGACTTTAATTCTAGCCCGATTTAACCATTTGTTAATCACTTTTGATATTTGCTTGGGGTCACTTGTTGGAACATCAAACTATGTCCAAGACCCGAACATCTGGCAGATGATTTTAGGTTTTCCTGAAGAATGTGGAGGTAATCATCTTACTTTATTATTCCATTTACCTTGTATAAAGCACCAGTTTCACTGGCAGTAAAACAAGCCAAGAGCATGATACTACCACCACAACCATGCTTGATGGTAGGTTTGGTGTCCTTGGGGTTAAAGGCCTTACCTCTGTCTCTCCTCCAAACATAATTCTGGTCATTGTGGCCAAATAGCTACATTTTTGTTTTATTTGACCATAGAACTTTTCTCCAGAAGCCATTTTCTTTTTCAGGGTAGCTCAGCAGCAAACTTCAGTCGAGCCTTAAGGTTCTGATTCTAGAGGAAGGACTTCCTTCTTGTATGGCGGACTCTCAGCATATGGCGGTGTAAAACACACTTGACTGTGGACACTGACAGCTGTTTTCCAGCAGCTTCTAATTCATTGCAGACCAACTTTTTAGGGATTCGTGGTTGACTCTTGACCATCCTGACTGATTGTCTCTCAGCAGCAGATGATAGTTTGGGTTTTTTTTCCTGATCATGGCAGTGACGCAACTGTGCCGTGTACTTTATACTTACAAACAATTGCTTGCACAGATGATTTTGATGTTCTGAGGGCAGAGTGTTATGTTTTCTGAATTATAATGACTGTCTGCATGGATTGCTGATTTTGATGCTTTTTGGAGATTCCTATCATTAGCCTAAATTACTGCTTTGCTAAAAACATAGTGAACCCTGGGAACAAAGTAATAGCCACAGCCTCAGACAACAAACACAACTCTGGAGATAAAGCCATTTTTCATTGACAGAGAGGAACAGTGGCTATAAGTTGACACCAACCAACAGGGACATGACAGACACTCATATGCAATTTAGGTGAGGTTGGTGTTATGTGGGATTAGATTAGTGTTAATCTGGGGTTAAAGTTGATCATCGACCGAGGGGCCATATGTGTAACACTGACATTCTAAGAGCCACAAAAGTGGAAGTGGTCCAGTGCTTGGTGGCACCAGCTCATTTGCAAAAAAAAACACAAAAGAGGGACTGGGCCTTTTCCAGTAGACTCCTCAGCCTGGCTGGCCAGAACATGGTGAGGAAGTAGTCCTTCCAATTAAAAGTGTGATATTTTACAACATATATAGCAAAGACACAAACAGACTCAGCAGTGTCAGGTTAGAATGTTGAAGAACCAGCAGTGAGTGTGGCCACGTATGAGTGCTGACATGGCTAGAACCTATAGCAAATGTACTCCAAGAGCTCCAGATTGGACCACTTAAAGAACTGTTTAGATGAACAGACACAGTGTGACCATGTGAAGAGGTGGTGACTTACACCAGGGCACACATACTGCCAAAAAAGTTTTTAATGCCTAGTTCAGCACAAATTGAATTCCCATCATTACATGACATTAGAATAGTTCCTGTTAAACTGCTGAAATGTCCAGTTGTGGGAGCTACAATATTCTTCATCAAACATCCTCATACCACACTCTTCAGGGTTTAAGCAGTGAGCCAGCTTTGGCATGAAGCACCATTCACTTAACAGACTGTTTTAGGTACAAGAGAAGGCTCAGACTAGGGTTAATGCTCTCACTTGCTTAATGGCAGTTGACAGGACGTCTTGGAATAGGTGATTTATAGATATCTCAACTGGGCATAATGTGTCTCCTGATTAAGCTGTTGTGGTTTGTTCGAAAACTCCAGTTTAGCAGCCAGATGGACCTGTAGGTGAGAATCTTTTTTTACTGCTGTTACCTTTTAATCTACATATTTTATGTTGTGGATAAGAAGATATAGAAGGACTCTGACAAGAGGGAGAGAGAGGGCCTGCTGCTGATGCAGTCTGCTGCCAGGCTACATAGTGTGTCTGTGTGTGTGTGTGTGTGTGTGTATTTAGTCCCAGCACCTCACTCACTTTAATCCACCACATCCTTTTCTTCTTATTTATTATTATTATGGTTCTTCTTACAGCGTTCTCCTTTCTTTTACTCTTGGAACAGCAGTATTCCCACTTGGATCTGTGTTCTGTTTGGGTTGGACCTTTTTGTGTGTGTGTGTGTGTAGGTGTGTGTGTGTGTGTGTGTGTTACTTTTCAGGGTAATTTTAGGGCTTCTTCTTATTAAAATGGATAGTTTCAGTTCAGTTTTTATTTTTACATTTATTTTTGGTACAATCATAACCATTTTTGGTTAAAGCACTATTAATTAAACTCAAACTTTAGTGAAGAAAAAGTATGACATGTGTGTCATGAAATATGAGATTACGTTTTATGATATGAGTTCTGTTAAGATTGACAAAAGTTTGCAGTGGACTTAAAGTTTGTGATGAATTTAGACATAAAGTAACATGACAGTAAAGGAGTATAAGGCTAATTTTTTTTATATAGCACTGTGTTGTGGGCTGTTCCACAAATAATATAAATAACAATTAAAGCGGGATATATTAGGAAATAACTTTGTCGTCCATATCAGCAGTAATGCAGGCCTCTATTTTCCTTAAGGAGCCGCGTTTCTATCCAAATGTCGCACAAAATTCTGGACAATCACTGAAAGAATGTGTGAATTTCATAATGATTATTTTTTTTAAAGAATGATTATGTTTATTTTAACCTGCCATGTTTCCCATTAATGTGACTATTTGATCATTTCATATAAAGTCAACAAAATCTCCAAAAAGGTTCTACTGAACCGCAATAAATTATATTTTATGTACAATAACAGACGTATATTCAGTGAAATCTTCCCACATTTTACCTTCATAGTATCATACCATGAATAATTTGAGATTTACAGACACATTAAGTACACAGGTATGGGTGAAATGTTGCGCTTTTTAATATGCATGACTTTTTTCACCTTCATAACTTCATGCGTAGAGGATATGACCACATGACATTTTTAGGGCTGAAACAAATGAAAATAATTTTTAAATCCATTCCAGGTGTCATAAACTAAAGCCAAAATCTAGTTTTTGTTTAAACGTTTCAGGGTCTTATCAGCATGTGGGATAGGTTGTTGGTCGAAACAAGTGATAGCATATAGAAGGTTTATATTTTTTACCAACCTTTATCATCAGTGTCATCTTCTAGCCAGGATTCCTTCTGTGCTAAAATAATTTCCTTATGATGTAATGAGGGCTCAAAAATGCTTAGAAAAAAATCTGAATTAAAAAGCACTAAAACGCCACCCATAGATACTTCAAAGACCTGTTACTCTGAAAAATGGTATGAGGGTCAAATTTTGTATGCCTTCATTAAGTATGGTAAAGTTACTAGATATATGGAAAATGGAAAGCTTTTTATCCATCCATCCATCCATCTTCTCCCACTTATCCGGAGTCGGGTCGCGGAGGCAGCAGCCTTAGCAAAGCCGCCCAGACTTCCTGATCCACACACACCGTTTTATACACAGCTTTTTATAATGTCTGATATATGTAGCAACAAAATGCGTTTCAGAACAAAATCAAGATCCTTTTCTAATCCTAACTGAGTAGTCATGCGTAAAGCAAACCAAATACAGGGGGAAAAAAATAAAGATTTTTACAAGACTGTAAAATAAATAAATAAACAAACAAACAAACAAACAAATAAATAAATACAATTACCATCTGAGATGGGACCTGAACTGAAGTTTCCTTGGTAAAAATGTGTGCTGACTTACACCTCCTCTGTTCCCCCAGCTTCACCGTCAGCAATATGCCAACTTACATGTGTTGGTGTCCCATTCTGCCTTCCATCATCCTGATGCCATAGAGACAGTTACAGTGAACAAGCTGAGTCGTATTGCTGTGATTACAGTTGTTTCATCAAATTGGAATTTTTTACACTACTTGAAGCAAGTATGTTTCCGCTCATGTATGCATACCTCAGCGAAAACTCATCCCTCTGTGCCCTTTTTACTCTAAGCTGTCCAAGTAAGCATCAACCAATATGAAGACCACAGTCAGTTCAGTGCATGACTGTGGGCTCTTGTGCAAAAAATTGACTTGCAAATGCAAAAATGAGTGTTTGGCTGCTCACAACAGGTGATGTGATTTACTGTCTGACGCACATCCCTTTCTCTCTTCTTGTGTACCCACTTTTTCCTGTCCTATGCTGTAATCGTACAAAAGCTTTTGGGGCAATAAAAGGTTCCAGGATTTTAGTAACAGGATGACATGGAGGACCTCACCAATAAAAGACCAACCAAGTAGGCTGTCAACAGCCTATTAAAGCATACTGGCTGAACAGCTTGAGCTCCCTTTCACCTATAAACTGGATGTCATGGTGGGATACAGACATGAGTCACAGTCTGTGATCAAGGCCAAGTGTGTTCTCACTGCAGGAATTTCACTTTCTAAAAGTCTCACAGTTGAGGATCAAACATTAACAGTGAGCTAGGATAAGACAATTCTGCAACATGTGAATTTCAGTAATTCCATGAATTTTACCCAAGAGAGTAAAATTGAGATTGTAGTTTAGAGTTAAATGCCAACAAAACCACTGGAGAGATTCATGTCTACCAAACAAAACACAAATCATGATTTTGCTACTTTGGTGATCCCTTAACTTTTCATCTATCACCATCATCAAGTCAT